ACTTCACGCTTAGTCAAACTTGGATCTTGACTAACAATATTATGAACTTGCTCAATGAATACGGTGCGGTTGCGGTTTTGGTCGTCCTTCGCGTGGATCGTTTCCAGCGCGTGGATCGTTTCCAGCGCGTGGATCGTTTCCATGGTTTGTTTTGATGATGAGTTCTCCTTATACACTTCTAACAATTGTTCATAAATTTCCTTTTCTTTTAAACCTTTCAAAACGAAGAATCTAATCATTGCGCGATATAAAATTTTTTCCATATTAAAAAATACTCTGACAAGTCAACTTCAAATAGCTTGTAAACAAAAGATAATATGACAGAATGACTTGTAACTTTGCATGTGTTCTCACGACAGATGTACTAACTTGATAAAAGAATAAAATGGAGATAGCAATGCTATTTCTTGGTGAGAGGAGGAACTTTTCAACCAGCCTGTATATATATATTTTATAGGGACTATGACGTTTCCTTCTGGGTGTACAAACTTCGTGGCAAACTTAATATATCCTGTTTAAGGTATAATAATGACGTAAGGGATATACATATTACCCATATTTATTTTTTTTACTAAGTTAGCACAAAGCACTGCTTTCGATTATAGTCTTGTCGTGTACTTTGTAAAGTATACGCTACTCAATCCTTCATGATTTTCATGTGGAATTATGTAATGTATGTTGTTTTGAGAAACAGAATATAGTGAACTCTAAATTAGGCATTAAAATAAATAACGCTATTATGGTTTACAACTCGAATCAATTGATTTTAAATTGAAGCAACTTCAGAACAACTAAGCTCCGGTTTGACATTACGAAATACTACTAAATAATTTCATTGATGCTTCCAACCTAAAAAGCTAATTATTGTGAAAGAAAAATTAAAATAGTACATTTAAGTAAAATATGAAATGTATGAATTAAATATGATTAATTTGAATCTATGCTACAACGACATAGTTATTGTGGACAAAACTGGAGAACTGCGCATCCGAAAAAAGGCTAGTGATTACTCGAATCGATTGAAACCTCCAAACATCGAAAAATAATATTTTTAGCGACAATTGAATGACTTTTTATTAATGTTGTAAGGAAGTATTTTGTTTTCTACTATATGAGGCGAAGAAACTTTTGTGAAACTTGTACGTAGAACGGCACTACCTTCTATATTGATATTATGGGCAATTCTTCATTTTCTTGCAGAAGATAGCTGATGAATCATTTTAACATTGGAGAGGCGCAACATACGATATGTACAGTCGTTAGGAAAGTTTTAAATACTATGGAAAAACGTATTTGTAACTTACTTTGTATTCATCAATAGCCTTTTACTTAATTTTATTCTACGAGATCAATCAGTTTTTCAATTTATTGTTTTCTTGTAACATTGTCCTTTTTATGCATTTGTTCAAAATAACTGATTAACAAGTAAGGAAGGGTTAAGTTCGAGTGTAACTAAACATTTCATACTCTTGCAACTTGCATTGACCAAAGCTTGGGAAATACCTTCAGGTGTTGGAAAGCTTTTTTTTTAATGCTGCGAAAGAATTCAATATTCATTGTTCGATGAAATCAAACTTGTATTAATTACTTAACTATAGGTCATTAATTTATTATTTAGGTCATGGACTCAACTAGTTTAATTACTATATTTTACGTTCCGAATTTATATTAAAATCATCCGGTTAAATTTAATATATTTAGTTGTTATGGGAAACGTGAACCAGAGGATCGAAATTGATTATATTGAGGCTATTAAGTTTGCATCAACCAATTTAATTCATATGCAGCTCTAAGCCATATAATTTTAAGGAAAACCTATCAGAGAAACGTCTGGGCTGATTGCATTAACTTTCATTATAATCATATTATAACTCACACACTGACCGAAATATTCGGCATAAGTTATTTTGGAAAAAAATGCAAGGATAAAAGCCGAGGAAATACCATCAGGTGTTTCCAAAACACCTGACCGGTATATACAGTAGAAAGGTTTGTAATTCTTATATATTTCTTATCAATTTTCTTATATAAGGTATATTTTGACCCGATTTTATCCAGTTTTTGTATTGCGACATATCATTACTAGAAATAGAAACCTCACAGATTGACCAATAGTTAAAAAAAAAAATTTTTTTGAAGGATTTAGATTAAAATTTTTTACATATTGGCCGATAGATGCGATATAAAGTCAACCGGAAGTTCGAAAATATTTACATTAGGTATATGGGAGTTAAGGGGATATAATTAAGTTTTTCGTTAAGTGTAATATCTTAAAAATATTCTCTGAAAATTTCAAGTTGATCCGATAATTACTTTTTGAGTAATTCCACAAACAACAAAGAGCGCTCGGGCACTTCAAAGCGCTCGGGAGCTCTAGTGTGAAGCTTTAAATGCGTTTTTCTCAAAACTATGTTTTTTGAACTGGTGACAACTGTAACTCAAAAACCGCTCAGTAGATTTTAATGAAATTTATACAGTTTTTATACTCTCGCAACCTGTTGCTACAGAGTATAATAGTTTTGTTCACCTAACGGTTGTTTGTATCACCTAAAACTAATCGAGTTAGATATAGGGTTATATATATAATATATAAATGATCAGGATGAAGAGACGAGTTGAAATCCGGGTGACTGTCTGTCCGTCCGTCCGTCCGTGCAAGCTCTAACTTGAGTAAAAATTGAGCCACGCCCACAAAACGCCATTAATCAAAAACAAATAAATTGCCATTACTAAGCTCCGCAATAAGATACAAGACTGTTATTTGGTACACAGGATCACATTAGGGAGGGGCATCTGCAGTTAAAATTTTAAAAAGTGGGCGTGGTCCCGCCTCTAATAGGTTTAATGTGCATATCTCCTAAACCGCTAATGCTATAATAACAAAATTCACTGGAAGCAAATGTTTTTAGCACTTCTATTGACGGTGTGAAAATAGTTGAAATCGGGTGGCAACTCCGCCCACTCCCCATATAACGGTACTGTTAAAAACTACTAAAAGCGCGATAAACCAAGCACTAAAGACGCCAGAGACATTCAATTTTATCTCTGGGATGGTATGAGATGATTTTATAGGAACCGCGTTCAAAATTAGACAGTGGTCGTGGCACAGCCCACTTTTAGGTGAAAACGCATACCTTGAGATCTGCTTAACCAATTTCAACAAAATTCGGTACATAACGTTATTTTCATATTTCTATGTTATAGTGCGAAAATGGGTGAAATCGGACTACAACCACGCCTATTTCCCATATAACACCATTTTCAATTCCATCTGATTCTTTCACTTTCCACTATGCATATCAAGCAACAATGATTATATCGGGGTAAAACTTTGCGTGAATAATACGTTTAAAGTATGCCACCTTGTGACCAAAAATTGTCTAAATCGAATCAAAACTGTTCAAGCCCCTAAGTACTAAATATGTGGACCCCAGTGCTTATAGTTGACCTTCTACCGAAAATATCAGTCAATCCACAAAGAAATCTCAAACGAGTATACCATTTGACTTTGCGAGAGTATAAAATGTTCGGTTACATCCGAACTTAGGCCTTCCTTACTTGTTAGAGTTGATTTTTTCCCAAAAAGTTAGAAAAAATTTCCTGAGGCCGCCAGTTTGTTAATTTAAAACAAAAGCTTCGATCAGGCCCAGGATTATCTATTTATAAAACTAATTTTTCTCAGTCAGCTATAACTTTGGAATTAAATTTTTTTTTTTAATATTCGTGACTTTAAGTCAGAACATTATATAGGTAATAATGCCATATTACTACTTTTGTAAAATAACTAAAAAAATTACTGAAAATTCTAATTTTTTCGTGTCTCTAACTATTCCTAACCCCTTAAGAGAAGTATTGATCCAATTTTACCCAACTGAACTGAATTTCCATACCAGAACTCACAGATTGACCGATATGTTCGTACCTTGAGAGTCCTATTTGTACAAAGTTTTGTTCTGATAACTTCATTGATGTTTAATTTATATATTGTAAAGTAAACGGCGGTGCATTTATTTAGTGAGTTATTGCACTTTTAGTAATTTTTAACAAAACCCTCATATGGAAAGTGGGCGTGGTTATTACCTAATTCTCACAGTATATGAAGAAGTGCTAAAAGGGCTTCTTCTCGGAAAGTTTGGTGAGTTTAGCTCTAGCGGTTAAAAAATTTAATTTTTAGTCCGTAGATATCCCTGACTACTGAGATCTATTGCACCAAATTACAGTTTTGTATCTTAATTAAGGGGTCAGTTATGACACTTTATAGGTTTTCGTTTAATAGCGTTTTGTGGGCGTGCAACAGTCCGATTCTATCTATCTTCAGTACCAACCTGTGAGTGCCAGGTAACATATAATATTTACCATGTGACAGACAGTCCCCCGAAATTCAGTTCATCTCGTCGTCTTGATCATTTATATACCATATATATAAATCTATATGTACGAGCATCTGAATTAGTTTAAATTGATACAAACAGCCGTTAGGTGTACAAAACTCTGTAGCAACATGCTGCGAGAGTATAAAAATTATTATATGTACCATATGGAAGTTGGGGACAATTCGTAGACAACATACACATATTTTCGGCTTAAACTATAGTTTATCCAATATTATACCATTTTTGAACCAAAAACATGCTTCTTGTTCCGATATATGCTTCTTCGATGAGCTTAACAACTCTCAAAGGCAATATTTGTGGGCGAGTAGTTTGAATAAGATGCTTATGTATTAGAGTTATTTTCGCATGTGTGACATTGTGTGCAATACAATCTATTTAGTAGATATCTACATATTATATTCTACATACTACACTTCTTTGTACGCTCATATCTGAAAGTATTACAAACAGAATATTGTTCATTTGTCGCACAATAGTCGTAATAGTACATCACACGTCTGCAAGGTCTAAAAATTGTCTTAATTGGCATAATTACACCACATAACACATTCTCAATTCTCAATTCTATATTTGCTGTATTTCATTGGCTCAATGTGCTTATTTCAGATTAATTCATGGAGACAGTGAAGAATCTGTACGCTGTTCATATTGCTCCGTTTTGAATGAGAACGACTTACGTATATCTTTCGAAAATACCTGCACCGATTCTCTAGTAACTGCATTTGATGATGAGGCTTTATTAATATGCGACCAAGGAAACGAAATGGCAAGAACAAAGGTTTATTTTACGTTAATATTGCAGGGTCCATCCATTTCTCTTCCGTAATCAATTACTTTATCTAACAAATCTTTAAAAATCTTATACATCATACATTTTATTTTATTTTGTCGAAATTCTACACAATTTTAACCTATTATATTAAGTAAACACATACTTCTCCATGAATCAATTAATAATTGTCATTGCATTTGTATATTATAAATAGGTTCACTTTGATGACGTGTCGTTATACGGGACTCCGAAAGAGGAGCCAATGCCTTCCATCCCCGTCGTTTCTGAAAAAGTTTCTGCGAATTTCCTAAAAAGTCAATTGCAATCATGGTTTCAACCGACAGACAATCGGTTGGCTATGAAATTATTCGGCAGCCGGAAAGCGTTAGTCAAGGAAAGAATTCGCCAGAAAACTTCCGGACACTGGGTAATTCATCCTTGTAGTTCATTCAGGTTTGTATTCCAACAGAATTGTGTTTAAGGCATTCATTATTAACCTTATCTCCATATTATATTTCAGATTTTATTGGGACCTTTGTATGCTTTTATTATTAGTAGCAAATCTTATAATCCTGCCAGTCGCAATATCATTCTTTAACGATGATCTGAGCACAAGATGGATTGCCTTTAACTGCCTAAGTGATACAATTTTTTTAATAGATATTGTAGTCAATTTTAGAACAGGTGGGTCAAGAACCTATCATTGCAATACAAAAGTGAACGTTATCTATATTTATATTTATATATATAATCAGATATGTACATATTAAGTATAAATAATTTAAGAAGAAATTAGCAGAGCACATCACGATGCCAATTCTAGTTCGTAATCGAACGATACGAAATTTTACTCAGAGCCGAACGGGTAATTGCGCATATCTCACAAGCCACTTCATATATCCAAAAATTAGCTATTTCATTATACGTTATAGCATTAATATGAATGAAACCGAAAAAATTCAACACGCTCATCTCCCCTATAACGATTATGCCACAAACTACTAATACTACTACCAAATTTGATTAGTCACATAATGCAATAAGACCACCACTACTTCACAAATAGATAAAAATGTTTTACTTAGTAAATCTAGCTATGTACCAAAAGTTAGTGATATCGGTCTATATCCCTAATACGCTGAATACATTTAATGCCGTTGTATGTTTAATGTATGATTAAGTGCTTAACCAGAACTTTATCGGCAACATGTTGACAAATAGTCTTCTCAATATCTGATTAGCAACAATCTGTTAGTTAAGTTCTGGTAAACTTTTCCGAAAGAAGGAGTCTTGACTAGTTTGTAACCACCAGAGAGTCAGACAGCTGTCAGACATTCAGACGGAGACTTTTTTGTCCTTCATTATCATTATGAATATTTGCTTTCATTTTGCATATTTGCATGCATCAAGTTTTGTGAACTGTTTTTCCCACGCATTCCTAATAACATAATCAAACTATCTGTAGGTAAGCTAACCACAACTTGGTGGAAACGGTTCTACCAGTTAAAGTTATTATCCGGTAAAGCTACCAGTGGTTAAGGATAATATTAGCCGGGTATTGAGGAAACGGCCCTAAATGTTGTTAGTGAGATTGACATTAACTTATTAATATTTCGTATATTAGGTATGATATCTTTATGAAGCTAAACCCATAGCATAAAGTAATTTGGTGTCAATCAATTGGCAAATCTCCAATTTATTCCGTTAATTTTAACAAAGGCCCTAACCCATAACCTCTAACAATATATCTACTTCAAATTATATTTATTTTTGAAACTGAAACATTCTTTTTAACTGAAAATAACGCCGAGACATCACTTTGTCATGATTAATCGGCTTACGCATGTATATTATAGTTAACTACTTCGGCCTTGAAGTTTTTGGTTTATCATTAGCTTGAAGTATCTTAGGTACTTAATAGCTCCAAATATAACAACATAGTAAATTATCGACGAAGTATCTCCATTTAATTTCCAGTTTTATTTGATTACAAGAAAAAACGCTAACTTCGGTTGCGCCGAAGCTATAATACCCTTAACAAATACAAAGGCCCCTTACAAGAACTTGATTCCGAACGTTCAATTTGTATGGCAGCTACATGATATAGTGATCTGATCTGACCAATTTCTGTGGAGAATAATTTATTGCCTTAAGCAATAACTCGTGCCTAATTTCGTGAAGATACCTCGTCAAATAATAAAGCATATAGCTGCCATACAAACTGAACAATCGGATTCAAGTACTTGTATGGGGAACTTTTTTATTTGACGTAATATCGTCACGAAATTTGGTATGGATTATTATTTAAGGCAATAATGCAATCTCCGAAGAAATTGTATAGATCGGATGACTATAGCATATAGCTGCCATATTAACTGAACGGTCGGAATAAAGTACTTGCATGGAAAACTTTTTTATTTAACGAGGTATATTCACGAAATTAGGCACGAGTTATTATTCAAGGCAACAATGTATTTTTCGCAGAAATTGTTCAGATCAGACCACCATATCGTATAGCTGCCATACAAATTGAACGATTAGAATCAATTTCTTGTAAGGAGCCTTTGTATTTGTGAAGGGTATTACAGCTTCGGTGCAACCGAAGTTAACGTTTTTTCTTGTTTTCTACTAAGTTAAACCAAATAATATTTCTTAAAAATCTACAGTCCACATATGTACATACATACTTAATACACCCAAATATCTTCATTACAGGTATAATGCAGCAAGACAATGCAGAACAGGTTATACTGGATCCTAAGCTTATAGCCAAGCATTATTTAAAAACATGGTTTTTTCTGGATCTTATATCTTCGATCCCACTTGACTACATTTTTTTGATTTTCAATCAAGTAAAGGAAAATATTTTCTCTTTAATGGAAAGGAAGTTTTAACGACATATTCAATTTTATAGGATTTCTCCGATTCTTTTCAAATACTTCATGCCGGTCGTGCTCTACGTATTCTTCGCCTAGCTAAGTTACTTTCTTTGGTTAGATTGCTGCGTCTTTCCAGGCTTGTGCGATATGTCTCACAATGGGAGGAGGTATATGTAAGTATTCACAATTTGATTTCGATTTATAAATCGTAATTTGTTAGCATTCCTGATGTTCTAATCACATATGGCTCTATATTGAATATGTATGTATTATACAGTTCGTATTAGATATTTATGTATTGATTGGATAGGACTAATACACAACTTTTAAGCGCATATAAAAACAGTCATACCCTATGTGTTAGGATTATTGAGAATGCCAGTCAACTTGTTATCATCACATAGTGCCACGCCTCAAATTAAACATGGAGGCACTACAGTATAAAAGCATAATGAAAGGTAATAGGGAGGGTTTTACTAAAAGTAAAGAAATTATTGTGCTCATCGTTACAAAAAATGCAAAATTTTATTACATCCATATATGATGTTTGCGTTTGTGTCATGGTTTTTTATTCAACGATAATTGTACAACATAAGTATTTATAAAAAAATTTATAGGAAGTGATTTTTAAATATGCTAGTTAAACACTGAGTTATGCGATAACATTACTACCATAATTCCATCATCAAATCTCATAACACCGTTTAGAGCTTAACTACCAGTTGTGAGTTTCGGTTACTAATTGGATTATATGTATATCCATATAAACTTAATTGTCGTTTACTGTATTTCATTTCCTTGTTAATGGTGTGCTCGTAGATAAAACTAAGTAGTTTCTTACTAGGCTTTGACTGATGTTTGCGCTCAGTAACAGTAAAATTGTCATTTTGTTACAAAAGTATTCCCTAGACACTATTTTAATTCGTACTTTATTTTATAAAAAGTTAAGGGGTTAGTGGTAGTCAGAGGCACGAAAAATGAGAATTTTCAGTAAGTTTTTATTGCTATTAAGTCATGTTATTTTACAAAAGTAGTAATATGGCATTATTATACAATGTTCTGACTTGATGTCACGAAATTTTCAAAAAAAAAAATTTTAATTTCCAATGTTATAGCTGTCTGTGTTGATCCAGTTCCAAAAAAAGGTTTTGATAAAAACGCATTTAAAGTTTCACACTAGAGCTCCCGAGCGCTTTGAAGTGCCCGAGCGCTCTTTATCATTTGTCGAATAACTCAAAAAGTAATTATCGGATCAACTTTTTAAAGAATATTTTCAAGATATTACACTTAACGAAAATGCATGAAAATTCTGACACTCCTTAATATTTCTTTATATTCTGAAATATTTTCAGACACTCGAATTCCATTTCGAACTTTCATCTTTTTGTGAGAGATCAAGAATCTATTTTGCTTAATGAAGTTATAGGTTTCCTTTCGAATCACAAAAATGTAACAACTATAGTAATGTATAGCCTGCGGTTGAACAATTCATTTTAAAAATTTTTTTTTAATAATCTTTAGTAATTATTTATTATCAGTATTTTTAATGCTCACCATGTTTTAGCATACCTACTATATATCAGAATATTATATTTTAAGTGTTTCATATTATTTTATCAAGCATATGCATACATATATACATATTTTCTTAAAATAGGTTGCTTAAAATATATACTTCTTATGTAATATCTAGAGAAATTCAAAAACGTCATGAAAGGAATTACACGTTAGTTACCTTGAACGAAACATAACACGGAAACTAGTTAATCGAGGCGTGGCAGTACCGATTTTTTTGACTAATCATTATATGAATTTCAAAGCAAATATATATATAATACACTTACATGTATAAAACAAAATGTTATATCTTTGACACGATATTCTTCCATCTTATTTTCATTTCGAACGTGAAAACTGATTTATCTACTTACTCTAATAATCTTATAAGAACAAAATATTTCCTACAAATGCTTCAAGATTATTGACAAACATCACATTAGGTGGTCGTTTCGAGACATTTGTACGAAACATTTTAAAAGGGTTCTAGATCTTATGCTGCCTTTATAAACCCATCTTTGTATTTTTCGCACGAAAAGTTATGCAAATAGCCAAGAACTGAGCAGATACTTAAACCGCAGTTAAATAGTTGGCTGAACCTTAGGCTCAATTATGTATATCCTCATCAGATATTTAACAGGGAACTAAAACAACCAATAAACTTAGTACAAATATCTATTTACATACATACAAAATGTACGCAGATATTTTTGAAATGGATATACAAGGGTATATTCAAAAAACAAATTTATGTTTTAGTACAAAATATGTGAACATATGTATAGTACATGACTTAGACGCATCACGTTAAGTGGCTACAGACAGGTTATTCATTTTTATGTAAAACTGAGCAAAACAGTCAGATGCTCACAAAAATTTGAAATTGAAATCACACTTTGTTTGTTTGAACACTTAAAAGAAACTTATCACTTAAAGTAGCATTGCCTTATGTTAAAACGAGTATTGAGTTACCACACCATTTTTGTCAGATACCAAATGAAAATTCTACATACATATATACATATATACATACATACATATATGCCAATATGATAAATATTTAATTACTCTATTCAAATTAATAATCGAGAAATATGCAACAAGAAAATTAGCTTATCGGGGATTATGTGTATGTATGGTTCTAGATTCTGCAGAATCTGCAAAAAAAAAGTGCTGATCGAAGAGGGAGAATGCATAGAAAAGACAAAGATGGCTTGACTAAAAGCAACCTCATTTTGAAGGTAACCCAACCAACAATTTTTAAATGCAACCCATGATTGATTAATTCATTATGATTGATTGATTAATTGATTGCTATTATACATAGTTAAATATTATTAAATCACTAACGAGGAATGGTTTACCCTATTTCTGTTTTAAATAGTTTCAAATTTTATTTTGTTAGTTAACATGATTGCTTCCTTTTGATTTCCTAATATTTACCAAGTCTGCCTTTTAGATTGATGAAAACCTATTTTGATGCATAAAAATTACAACTGCTTCTTTACTTGTAACGCACTTTCTTACTCACAAAGTACTTATATGAAGTATGTATATTATTAGTGTCGTGGCGATGAAACACAACATCTATTCCCCAAGTCGGTGTTCAAAGTGCGAATATCATGCACATATGGATATATAGTATGTATGTATGTACACATATACTTAATAAGTTATATAATATTAGAAAAGTGCATACATATGTATGAACTGCCGAAATCAGTATTGTATATCGGTTTGTGGCATCGAATTTTGGGGATATGTTGGGTAGCTAAACACCATGACCAGCCTTTTTAAATGCTTTTGCTTCGTTTAAAACACACCAAGTATGTGCACACATTCATACATACATACTTATACTTATACATATACCATACAATTAGCGCTTGGACAAAGAATCTAGAAAGCAAGTTGTGCAACTTAACGCCAAGCAATTAATTTATTGTATAAAACATGTGTACAAAAGCATATGTTTCCACACATACTTACATACTTAGTATATATAAACATACCTTTTATGCAGACGTATGCATACTTTCGCTTATGTACAAAGGATTTTTAATGCGTTACGTTATGCTTTTCAGTTCATTACTGTTCGATCCAGTTCTCCTTCGATTGATTATAATTTATTTACATATGTTGTATAGATGTATACGTGTATACATACATACAAGTACATACGTACATATTATATTATTAAATCATTCATACTTTTGTTTACCAAATTTTGGCTTTCGCGTATCAAAACAAATGCTCTTGTTGATTTTTGCTAATATTCAAACAATTTGCTCCCAGTGTAAGTTAACGAAATACTACATACTTACGTAAATATCGTATGAAATTAACGTATTAACATTGCATAAGGCTCGTTTTTTATGTATATTATTGTATTGTAATTAATGTATGTAAATGCGAAACGCAGTGATCCACTAAGCTTTTATTGTGCAGCTTAATTTAAGTGGCATTGTATTTAAATACATACATATGTACATATAACTGTAAAATTAAAAAAATTAGAATTTAAGCTTCCGAAAGCGCACTTAACGTAGCTTTCACAATACTTACAATTTGTTTTAAATATCGTACGAAAATTGCTTATCAGTAATATATAATGTATTTTGGGTTAATTTCAGGTTTCTTAGTGAAAAAAAGGGTGGTACTTTCTTTGCAAACCTTAATTTCTAACATTCTTCGTTTACTCACTTTGAATGAAAATCAAAACACGCGTACAACAGCTTGCATGTAATGCACTGGTCATCAATACTTACATTAAGACCAGAAAGTTTCCGGAAATTGTAAATAAAACGAAAATTCTTGAATCGATACACAAGCGATACACATATGCCTCCTCCTTTTCCCATCAACGAAACATGCAGTGTGGGTCCGTGTCCGGGATCGCCTTCAGTTCCCTCTGCGAATTTTCTTTTACGGCCTCAATCGAGTCGAAACGGGTTCCACGGAGTGGTAACTTGAGTTTTGGAAACAAAAAAAAGTCACTTAGGGTCATATCAAGTGAATACGGTGGTTGATCGATGGTATGGAACGAGTTTTTGGTCTTCAAATCGTTTATTATACTCTGTAGCAACATGTTGTACCATGAAATCAAAAAGTTTCCGGAAATTGTTTTTTTTTCGATATTCGCGGTTTGGTTCATCATGAATTCGTTCCACTGGGACAAACGGTCAATAGAGATTATTATTTGAGCGTTTTGAGGCGTTTGCGCGAAAACATCCGTCGTGAATGGCCGGAATTGTGGGCCAACAATTTCCGGAAATTTTCTGGTCTACAAGTATATTCGGAATGAGTCATATCTGTATTTCAAACTCAAAAATAACAGTTAAGATAAACTTGTGTGACTGAATTAAACTTCGAAAATTATATTTAGCACAGAAGGTTACTGGGAACCACGCCCGAGGTGGGCGGTATAGTTTCAAACTACTGTCATATTTCTGTGTAATGTAATGTAATACACATATGTATGTGTGTATATTGCTAAATATTTGAGATATTTTAATACAAATATGTTCATATGTTTCTTTAATGAGATTCGGAACCACAAAGGGCAAAATCCATCTAGACCTTCCCAAGGCACGTATTTCAACTAAAAGGACATCTGTCTATCATCTTGTTTTATTAGGCTAAAAGATTGTGACATTAAAATTTTTTTTTTTTCAAATTTTGAATTAATATTACATATAGTTGCTATCGAGGGCCAGACATTGAATAAAGTGGTCTTCCAGGTTTTCGAAAGCATTTTTGTTTTGTTTAAAAATATGTCGAATTTTCGCTGATTTCCGCTTTATTATCGAGCTTTGAGAAGGCCATATCCGAAAAATACGGTGGAGAAGGCAATTTGAGACCGAATATAATTCGGCATTATTATACCCTGAACAAGGTATATTAAGTTTGCCACGTAGTTTGTAACACCCAGAAGGAAACGTCGGAAACCCTATAAAATATAAACACAAATGATCAGAATGATAAGTTGAGTTGATTTAGCCATGTCCAAATCTGTCTGCATATATGCAAACTAGTCCCTCAGTTTTTTGCATCTGTCCTTTTCTCACTAAGAAGTTTTTCATTTGTCGAAAAGGCCCATATCGAACCATACAAACTGAACAATCGGAATCAAGTACTTGTACGGGAAACTTTTTTATTTGATGTAATATCTTTACGAAATTTAGCATAAGTTATTTTCTAAGTCTGCAAGGTAATATCCGAATAATTCTTTAGATCGGTTAACTATAGCATATAGCTGTCATACAAATTGAACGATCGGAATCCAGTTCTTGTAAGGAGCTTTTGTATTTCTGAAGGGTATTATAGCTTCGGCGCAACCGAAGTTAACGTGTTTTCTTGTTTTCATTGTATGATTTATCCTTTTGGTATCTTCAATTGATCAGCTATATCGATCAACTTTATTTTGCGGTCATCCAAAATCATTTAACGTTTTTGTCCGTACCAGCCCCTTTTGAATGTGGTTGTGATTCTTCATCTGCGGTGCTCGTATGACCTATACGGAATTTAGCAAATTAGATAGAAATTAAGGAGTACAGGAAGAACAAATATACCATGGAGCATGTTGTAAGCGTTAATTGACTCTTCTGATATAAATAATTTACTGTCCGCTTTGTGTAATATTTAAAAGTTTGACCTTAGAGGGCTTCAGTGACATATGTATGGATATGATAAGTTCTCATATAATATATTTATAAGTATGTCTTTACAACTATATAGTTTTCTTCACACTTGTAAATTCGTACCGTACCGTTTAGGAATACATTTAATGGTTGAGAACTGTTTGAGGCTCTTTTTAATTGAATAAACACACATTTTTTGGGTCTAGATATGAATGTACATATATTTTGACAATAGTTACGAGTTTCGATAATAGCGCTTTCTAGCTCCCAAAAGGGTCACTTTCTTGTATTTAAATTAATGGTAACATTTAATATGATAAATGTGAATTAATCAACTGTTTATAAAGCTAGAGGCTCGTTGTCCCATCACAGCAACCTATTTAATAAGTAGATATGTATGTATACAGCAAAATTGTTTGTGATGATATTGCTGATGTTTTGCTCAAATGCTAAATTTATGCATTTGCAACTTTTTTGGTTGTTGGTAAAAATGTTTTGGCTAAAAGAAATTTCTTAATTGTTGCATATGTGTTCTTTGTTGTGGAATAAATGTGCGAAGAGCAGAATATTAGTACTTGAGCATAGCATTTCTAGAATGTTGTTTATTTAGTTTTTCTTGTTCAGTTGTATTACTGTGTTAAACTCTTGTATTTTCACATTTTCACTTGTATTTAATGTTGTACAACAATGTACTTGTATTATGAATAACTACTTTTGTTAACGAAGGGTTTTGGATTGATAAACATCTTTTTAGTTCCTTAATATGGCATCAGTCTTTATGAGGATCTTCAATCTGATTTGTATGATGCTACTTATCGGCCATTGGAGCGGCTGTTTGCAGTTTTTAGTGCCAATGCTACAAGGTTTTCCATCGAATTCATGGGTATCAATTAACGAGTTGCAGGTAACCACAACATAGAGCATTTTGCATGTTTTATTTCTCCCCCACTTTTTTGTTTTTGTTGTTACGAAAGTATAATATGATGTCGTGATTTGATTTAAGGAGTCATATTGGCTAGAGCAGTATTCATGGGCTTTATTTAAGGCGATGTCTCATATGCTGTGCATTGGCTATGGCAGGTTTGTCCCCATAAATTCAGATAAACTGTGAATATACCCCTTTTTGTAGATTCCCACCGCAGTCATTGACGGATATGTGGCTGACAATGCTTTCGATGATATCGGGAGCCACATGTTATGCACTCTTCTTAGGTCATGCGACCAATTTGATACAGAGCTTGGATTCAAGCAGGCGGCAATATCGTGAAAAGGTGAAACAGGTGGAGGAATACATGGCCTATCGAAAGCTACCACGTGACATGCGCCAAAGAATTACTGAGTACTTCGAGCATCGATATCAAGGAAAGTTTTTCGACGAAGAATGTATACTTGGAGAGCTAAGTGAAAAACTGCGAGAGGATGTAATAAATTACAACTGTAGGTAAGAGATCAGGATTTAAAATTAATTAAATTAAATTCCTAAATATCAAGTTTAGTTATATGCAATACTGAATGATATTACAAATTCTCTAAACACTAGTCACTAGTACTTTGTTTAATTATATGTACACCAACCAATATCTTTTGTATAAACATTTGATATATTCTTCTCATTATGAATCGATCAGTTCTTCTAGAAATTTTGATTAAGTGGTTATTATGGCATTGTTTAAGCAGTGTAAAAAAAATACATACATTTATATCATATATACATATATATTTTAAATTTTTTTATTTATTCTAAACTAATTCCTGCATTCTTTGATTCTTCCAAATATAATGTACATATTTATTTATTTACAGATCTCTCGTTGCGTCTGTGCCTTTTTTTGCAAATGCTGATTCAAACTTTGTTTCTGATGTTGTAACGAAACTGAAATATGAAGTTTTTCAACCCGGTAAGATGACATATTTTACATATACATATAGTAATTCATTGTCCATTCAAATAAACAAGGCGAATCGATGTTAATTTATGCAATAACTTCTAATGTTTTCTTATAGGTGATATTATTATAAAGGAAGGAACCATTGGAACAAAAATGTATTTTATTCAGGAAGGTGTTGTTGATATTGTTATGGCGAACGGAGAGGTATTTCCACAATTATACTTAAAACTTCTAAATTTTCATTATCAAACAAGAAAAAATGTTAACTTCGGCTGCACCGAAGCTATAATACCTATAACACCATTTAGATGGGCATTTGTTCAGTTCAGTTCAGTTTGATTGACAGCTTGTAGCGCTGCCGTGGATAATAATGTGTCCAAAATTTCGAGAATATAATTTGTCAAATAAAAAAGTTTTCCATACAAGGACTTGAATTCGATCGGTCAGTTTGTATGGCAGCTTCTTTTTTCTTCTTTCTTCTGCTTCAAATTTCAGCGTTTCAGAAAATATTAGATTATAATAATAACTAAGGCAACACATGAAAATAGCATTAACACCATGAATTGCATTAGATGTGGTGTACTTTCCTGAAAATAAATTAATTAAAAATGAATATAAAGATGGAATTTTAGCTATTTCGTAGTAAATAATACTCACATTCAAACAAAAGCACTCCATTTGAAAGAGGATATGGTCACAAAAGTTCGAAATGCCGATTAGGTAGAATCAATACACGGTCGAATGGAAAGAGTGTTAAAGACATCAAATCTGATATTATCGGAAGAAAAAGATATTTCCCCTTTCTGAATTTCCATGTACGTCTCCGTACCTTCCGAAATTGCCACACATCTCCAAAATACATTTGTCCAAGTTTAATGACGATTCTATCAATGCAGAAGTCAGCAAGTTTTTAGACGTTGCTTGTCACATGGAGCTACCAGTCACTGAAATAGACCTCGAGCTGAACTGTGCTGTGGTCAGATTGGAAGTTCAAACAGGTGTGTTTTGGGTTAACACCTTTCGAAATAGCAAAATCAAGAACGTCTGGAATTTTCCTGAGTTCAGATGCCAATAAGTAGGCTCGCCAGTTGAACATGTGAAGTCTTTGTTCTAAATACATTTCAAAAGTGTTCTGCCTTTAGTATTTGTGAGTGAGGAGCCCCACCAGGTCTTTTTTGCATTATAATCGCCACCAGCATTCATTACTTGTAATAGTAGCGGAGCAAAGTATAATGCAACTATCGTTACATTTCCAAGAGGGCTGGGCAACATGACCATTGCTTCCTATGGTTCAATGCTTAATTGGTTCAAGTGAGAGAAATACCAGATTTTATAAGACCTGCAGCCCCGCCACTTGCATTACCACTGGGATGGTTTGATTTGATTAGTTCGTATCCTGGGATTTTGATATACCATGATATGTACGTGTATTAAAATGGGTTTCTACTACAAGAAGTACATCGATGTTGTTGTTTTAATATAATGTTCTACTTTTGCATATACCGTTAGCATTCAATATGGTAATTTTTAATCTTACTTGCTTTGGGTAATTGACGTTATGAGTTGAGCAATAATTTGCGTAAATTGAGCTGTCATTTGCATGACCATTTGTTGCATGAGCACTTCCACTTTTTTCATTACTGATTCTTCATCGACAATTGGTAAGGCAATGGATTGGCGACGGTTGCTTGACTGGACTTAAGGTCCGTTACGCAACAAACTAGCAAAAGTTGTACCAAGAATAAGTTGACTTGGTGGAGCAGACCGAGATTCATTTGATTAGCAGGCTCGTAGTTTCTACCTTGCTATTTAAACAATCGTAGGCCTGTTTGCTTGCATACTCTGCAACCTTTGTAGTCAGGGACATAATTCAAATATATTAGCCTATGTCGATAAGCCACAAAAACAACAATTTGTTAAAAGGTTTTAATTCATAATGTCAAAATTTGCGGTTTTCTTTTGTTTTTATGATTCAAAATCAAATTTTTCAAAAGTTTCTACAAATTAAAATATGGTTTTTGTGTGATAACTGAATACGAATAGATTGTAAATCACACAGAATCGTAAGAAGTAAAAAAAAGAAATTCATGTGAAAATTTTTTTTTTGACATTTTGAATTAAAAATTTTGTTAGTAAGAGGAAGCACGCTCCGAAGTAACACAATCTTATATAATTTAATCAGCAAAAAGTACATATGTGGCATGCTTGAATACATTTCTCTCATAAACAATATACTTATGTACGTATTTTAAATTTGTATTACTTGTACATCAATAAGATTTTCACAACAAAAGTGAAATACGACATTGATAAATGCATTTCATTTCCTAGGTTGCGACTTCTCTTTCTGATGGTTCATATTTCGGTGAAATCTGTCTACTGACGAACGCAAGGAGAGTAGCCAGTGTACGCGCGGAAACGTATTGCAATTTATTTTCTTTAAGCGTGGATCACTTCAATTGTGTTTTGGATCAATACCCCTTGATGCGCAAAACTATGGAAACAGTTGCTGCAGAGCGATTAAACAAAATCGGGAAGAATCCAAATATTATGCAACAAAAAGATGAGCAAATTAGTAATCCGGAATCAAACACTATAACCGCAGTAGTGAATGCGTTAGCTGCCGAGGCAGACGACTGCAAGGATGAGTAAGTTTTTATACATTCCAAGACAACTTTTGAGCAATGAAGTATGGATAAATAAATATTAGTAATTAAAGTTTCTAAAGAAATGTTAATAATTTTGAGGTACTTTCTACTTATACATTGCTTATTGAAGACGCTTTTATCTAAGTTTCTTTAGTTAAAAAATTCGAAGTTTTTACATAAATACATATTTCCTTTCAAAATGTTGTGCAGTTTGGTTTAATAAGCCCCGTCAGCTTTTCAGGAATTGTAAAAATTTGGAGAGGAGCACATTATAACTCTCACAAAAATCAGTAATTTTTATCAGTTTTCGTGTCGACATTAAACTTTTTGTATAATTGAAGATTTTAGCCAGCAACCAGCAATTTAATGTTTTTTTAATTCAAACCGAACTTGTATGCATTGTAGAGCAGATTATGAAAATGAACTTTCGGAAACATTTCTAATGCTATATTTTATACAGCTCCATCTAATTTGTAGTTTTTTAAATTATATTTTCAAAAGACAAAATTTAAATTTAAGACCACTTTTCCTTTATAAACTTCGATCTATATTGATTACAATTATAGTCTAATATGTTTCTACTGAACTTTCAGCGATATCGATATCAAGGAGAATTTGCTTCACGGTTCGGAATCTAGTTTCACGGGGCCAGTACAAACGATACGAGAAGGGTTACCGAGGCCCAGAAGCGGCGAGTTTCGTGCTCTCTTTGAGGGAAATACCCCATGACACTGAAGCTTGGAGCGAATTGGTACATAGCAAGAACAAGTAGTGCAATAACAACTATTGCAATTGCAATACCGAGGGCAACTACGACGGGAAACAATATGATAAAGCATCGGAAGGATGTACATACATACACACAACCATATTACGTGATGATCACAAAGAGAGAAACACTTGAACATATTGTTAATATGTACTCATACTCGTTATGATGCAACTAATGTCCTCAGCAATTAATCATAATTTCAGCTCCGCTAACTGTGATGACTTTAATAATAAGAATCGAAATTTGAAAACTGGTGAACTAACTCTACTACATACAAAATTCATACATAAATGCATGAAAATAACTTAATACATATAAAAAATCGACAAAAACCCATGATAATTATAAATAAATAAAATGTAGTAAATTAATGAAAACCAAATATATATATAAATATGTATATCTATAGAATACAAATAACTCGCTAGTGTACAGGTTATTTAAGAAAAAACGACGACGATGGCGACTCGAAGAGACTTCAAACTACACTATAGAATTATAAATAAATTTGAAAAATATATGAAAAAAAAATTAGAATCATAAACCAAAGAGGCATTAAACATCCCTACCTACCAAAACATGCAAACAAAGTAAGTTGCATGTTTAGACACGCTGTATTGCAATTATTATTACTATTAAAGCCGTATCAAAACTTATAAGTTAAATTAATTTACACACTGACATTGAAATATATAGTAGATAAAACGCAGCCTGAGCAAGGAAACAAAAAGACCAAAACAAGCAAGGAAAATATATAAATACAATTAAAAATAGTGTGATCAACTAGTGACATACATACTTGCATACCAAAAACAATACATCCTACCAACATGCATTCAAGCAATACATACCAACCACCCCAAAAACGAAAAAAAAGAAATTAAAATGCATTAATACATACTCGTATGCATACAGATATACACTTACCTGAAGCAAATAGAAGAAATAAAAAATATATTAAAAAAATTGCATTCATTCAAATTGAAACAGTACATTGAATGTAGAGAAATGTTGTCTTTTTATAGCAAGTTATATTTTTTAGTTAAATCGTAATATTGCAAGTTGTATTTGTTTAAACTAAGATCAGAGCAAAGTACTCATAACAACTGAACTCAAAATATTAAGGGCACATGTTGGGCATATGAAAGCACAAAGAGACAAATTAATGAGTATCTTAGTATTTTATTACACGTAAACTAATAAAACCAGAAGGACAACGTTTGCCTTGAAACGAATGACATTTTATTTATTTATAGATCAAAAAATTCATCCCTTGGTCAGCAATAAGATTGGATAAACATTAATTTTAATTTCTTTAGAACATATCGGATAAGATATGACTTCTGCATTAGACTTGAACTCATTTAACCCATAGAAAATCACCTTAATTCGATATGTACACAGGAGTAAATTTTATATATGGTATTACTCCAAACGCTCATTTGCTCACCACTTGGAAATATTTGCATACATATACATACATATGTACCTACAGTGACTTACATAAGTATTTGGCATAACCTCTTGTAAACACTAAATTGCACTTTTTACAATAATAAAGGCTGAACCTAAGTCTGGGTTCATACACGGAAACTTTTTTGCTCTTTGTCGGGAAATTATCTTTTGGTGCTGCCCATTGTATTCACTTGGACGACTAGAGCCGCGTTCTACATTCCCTTTCACATTATATTCTCGAATTCCTCTAAGCTTCATTTACGCCGTGCACAAAAATACTTTTCATTAGCTAATTTTTACCCTTGTTCATTATTTTCTATACTATTTTTATTATATTATGCATATTTACATATTAGGTACATAAAAAATATATATGATAAAATTCAAATATTCGAACATCTTGTAAATATTCATCTGAAGCCGACCGAAATCGCAACTATGCAAAGAACTTCAAAATGAAAACTAATACCGAATTGTATAGCAGCAAACTATTATGAATATGATTACAAAGCGTGCAACCCAAGCACCAGCGACACGATCCTTTCATCTTTCCTCAATCCGAGTCGAAAAAGTCCTCGTGTGAGACTGTGTGTCTACTAATTTTAATGTGTTTACTTCCCAGCAAGTCACGGCTACCGAAGCTCCTATACTTTGTAAGAATTAGCGCAGAAACTAGCACATATACTTGTAGATTGTGCTACTCTTAAAACCATTGCATAAGAAAGGGATGAACGTACACAAGAGTTTCTGATACAATTGTCAATTGGACCTGAAGAAACATCATGGATGGAACTCAAGCAACTGTCAAAGTTCAGGAGGTCTGACGTTTAGCAATTGGAAAAAGAGGGACGGCCAGATTAAAATCCTACAGAAAAATATGTAAACAGAGAGATTTGTGCTGATGTTGCAGATCACTAACAAAAATTGTAAAACAATAAAAATGAAAGAAAACGCGAAATTGAATTGTATGTGATGATATCTCTTGTGAAGTCATGCTAAGTGGTATTGATTTTCAATTGAAAATTTTCAAAAACATTTATTAATTGAGAGCTAATACATTTATTCTTTTGATTACGTATTGAAAGTCCCTGCTGTACGGTCTGTTGAAGCGGACGGTAGAAGCGGTTTTGACTGTTCATTTACATTGCGCTCTCATAAGATAGATCGTATCAGCTGATTCGGTCCACGGTTTTGCATCGGTGACTCTTTGTGCCTTTACCATTTTTATGCTACATTTCTACTCGGTTATATTATACACGGATAACTTCAACCCATATGTATATACACTTTTGCATGCATAATTACGAGTAAATATTATATCATATTTCATAACTAACATGTTTTGTAAGCAACGGTTTCTTCAAACTCGTTTCTGTAATCACAATTATAAGTTGTCAAAATGTTACCTAGATCTTAAGCTAGTAAAATTCTGTCGGTCGGATTCACCAAAAAAAATGTTAAAATTTCTGTTTGTATAACTGTTCTATAGCTGATCGTGCTCTTTTATTGGAACCATATCCAATCCTTCAATGAAAATGTTTCTGCCTCTTTTGTACAAAAACATACTTATGTACTTATATGTATACATTAAGATCTACTAACCAACTCCAGTATAACATTACTTTTGCTAGCTCTTGAGCTGGTAAAATTCTGACAATCGGATTCACCAGGAAAAATGTCAAAATTTCAATTTAATTTTTCCACCTTTCCACTTTAATTTTTCCACCGTTTGGTAAATAATGTACCGCCAGAACACATAATTAGCAACAACCTCATAAACATTTGGGAGTAAGACGTGTTATGAGACAGTGGGCAAAGTGCTTATGGGTAACAATTTCTATACATATACTTGATCACGGTGTACGCAAGAAACCGCTTATTTCAACTGTAAATAAACAAAAAAAAACATATTTTTCTTCCCCGACACATAGAAAAAGAAGGTTTTTTTTTTAATTTTGTAAGAAAATAATATTCAGTTATGAAAGTAAGTACAATATTTTTGGGTCGCATGGGCGGGGTATGGTTTAGCGGAAGCCAATTGAAGAGCTACAAGTTAAAGACGTCAAACCAAAAGTTAAATACGGTGAAGGAGCCGTCAGAAATGTGGACATTTGCCAACAACCACACAAAGTGCCGACATAAACACAACTGATAATCAATGGTCCTATTTGAAAGATAACTTCTGGACACTCAAAACTCCATCGAAAAATACACTTAAAGCCGTTTTGCTAGAGGAATGGAAAAAAATACATAGAAACTATGCCAAGAGGCTGTTAATAATTAAAACAAATGTTACCATACACTACTAAGTATATATGTATATATATAGGCTATAAATGAATTAATATATCATCATTTGTCAGAAGCAGAATGCTTTCGTGAGTAATATAAATAAATATAAAATAAATTTTAAGTTATTATGAATTAGTAATGAAAGAATGAAGAAAGAGTTTATTTATAAACTAACAAAATAACTAATATTTAAGTGTAATGGTATACAAATGATATCTTGTCATTAACTATGTCCTAACTATATTCTTATGTACATATGTATGTAGTATATGGGTTGCTATGTGTATGTGTTTTTGACTTCTCGAAATCGCTTAGAAAAGAGTTCCGGCGAGTTTTGAAAATAGTAAAATATGGTAGAAAAATGTTGCAAAGAGGCAATCGATACAAGATCGCTCGATTTTATCGACCGCAATTTTTATGATAATAGCGGAAATTGTTGCTTCTCCTGGATCTTCTTCCCACAGTAAAGAAGGAAATGAACTCGAAAGAAACACTTTCTGTGTCATACTTGACAGTGTTATCTGGGTAATGAAAAGAAGATTCGCCGCAGTGAATGACGAATCGTTCTAATTTCTATGGCAGTTCTATTAATTAAAAGAAGATGAACTCAGCTACAAAAAGTTTGCAAAAAAATAGTATTGCGTTGAGGTATCTGATAAGTTGTCCAATGAAGCTATTCACCTCAAACACGTTTACGATACAAATTTTGAAACCCGTCTTACTCCATCCAATTTATTGAATGCCATGAACGCTAGAAAATTCGGAAACCCTTTCCCAAAAATTTGCATCACTTTGACAATATTTTGCACTTTGACAATATTTTGCACTTTATCCATTTCTGTTTCAAGTAGTGAACGTTTTTTTAGTACTTCAGCAAAGATCAAAAATTTTCATCTCTCATGCTCGTCACAGGACATGATTTCACGACTAGCTACACTCTTCCTAGGGGCAGAATTAGCTAAGAAGTTGGATTTCTAAACTATTATCGAGGCATTCGCTGCCGCCAAAGCTCGAAAAGCTCACTTCTAAGTTCCAAATAATTGTAGATTGGAGGATTTTAAACTGCATGTTCAAAAACTTAATCATAATAGTCAGGAGATTTCAAAATAACCGTTTTTTTTAAATTAATTGGATCGATAAATAAAGGTTTGAATGAAATGTTTCTGTATTTTTATTAATTGTCAAGTCTTGCTATCCCTATATTTACATACTCCGGTATAATCTGAAAAAATACTTAAACTGAAGTCTATGTATGAACTGATTTTGGCATTATTGATTCGTACAAAATAAATTTGCTCCACCCAACATCAACAAGAAGGTAAATTTATATAGATGTGATCATATATTTGACTTAGTCTTCAAAAACATTGAAGTAGAAAGTGGAAAGATAGTTAGTAATATTAATCAAGTATTAGAAACATTCCTGTAGTCCAGTTTTTCTCTCAGCGGCTCTAAAGAGGAGCCATAAACACCTTCACCGAATCCCTCCCAGTGAATGGCATACTTCGAGTTAAACCACCACCCATAGCAAACGAAGAGCTCGAGTTGCCCCCAGATTCAAGAGTGACCCTTGCGCAACTTCGTTTTGGATTTTGTAGCAGATTATCCACAATTGACCACGACATACCACATATATTTCCTATATGCAACGAGTTCCCAAATTACTCTAACCACTTCTTTGCACGCAACGAATCCGAATCATCTAACACCAGTCTCCCTAAGGTCTGACCCCGTCGCAACAACACATTTCCTGGTCTCCTGTTAGATGACTGCGATGACAACCAACTTCAACCTTACAACCCAAGCGGGAATAAGATAACCGCTACAACAACAACAACCTGTGCAACTAACATTTAATGTGTTTACATTGGGACTCTTTTGTAACCCAAACCGGTTTAGTGTGGGCGAGGGGACGACGAGGAAAAA